TAGCGATGCGCATTTGGTTTGACAGGATAAGACCGCACTCTGATGATGCTGCGTCGGTCTGCTTATTTGCAGCGTTTGAAGTCGGTCTCTGAATAATCGTTGTAGGTCTCCAGAGAGATCGTACGTGTCATATATCCAGAAAATGCTTCAAAACATATGTATATCTCTCAAATGCAAATTTAATTAAGATATATGCCGGTTTTAATTATGTATTTCCACTTTATATCCATTTACTCCCTCAACTTTCAAATAAACATCAGTATTCGTAATGGTTTTTATCGATACTTTTACGATAGCTTTTTTTAAATAAACATCAGTTTTCTGCAGTAATATTATGCAATAACATAATTAGTAAAATATATGTTTTTTGCACATATAGCTTTTTACAGTAACAAACAACAATAACATTAAAAGATATCCAGAACTCAGCATTTAAATAATATCCATTAGATATTCGAAAATATCTGTGAGATTTTTGTGTTAAAGTAAATTATTAAGTACATTACGATTTTTCACTCGCTTTTCGGTGATACGTCGGAAATGCGTTACGAGTATGAAATATAAAAATGATCGCATGCCGTCATGTTTTCTCGTCGTGTGTCGCGCACGACGACGACGACGACAACGACAACGAATTTCACAAAATGCCGCGCATTCCGCGATCGCGCGAGAAGCGGATCTTTTCTCGGCGAGGAGACCGAGAGACGCGCGGATCGTAAATTCAAGTGAGATCTACGACAGAGCTTAGCGCGCAAGTCGATCGTGATCACTGGCGCGGATCGACCCACGAGATTAATCTCGCGAACGATTTACGATGGTCCTGCCGTGCTGAGATCGATCGCGGCGGTCTCTTCGACGAATTGGGAATCGAGGATTGATCTGGCGCTGCGAAAACGCGGCTTTCAAATCTGCAGCCGTTGAAAATGATGAACGTTCCGCTTCGCGTTTGCGGCAGAAACTCTGTGCCGGCATCGCGATCTCGAATCTCGATATATTTTACGTTATTCGCGATAAACTCCAAACGTTTATCAGGCACGCCTGAATCTCTGCAACAGCGGTATGAAATTTCACGCACACAGCAAACTGGACCGAAACGAGATGAAGAATTTCAATTTTTAAAGTATTAAACGGAAAACAAAGTTTCTTCTCTGTAAGCCGGCTTACAGTGCGCGCTTTGGGATTTGCATAAATTGCGTGTAATGCTTCTTAGTTTTTTCCAACACTTTGAAATGAGAACAATTCAATACCGCTTTATCCTTACTTTCGCTATGCATCGCGGGACGTTGACGACAAAGCCGGTCGTCGCATACGACGTGATAAGAATGTTAATGCGGTTTCACGTCGCATGATCTGCTATCTCGTTTAGGAATGTAGGTTTTGAGCTGTGACAAGAGAATCGAACGAAACGTCAGCCGAATTGAACCAGCGCCAGCGACGGCGACAGTCGTGTCCGAGTCCGTTTGCAATTCCGGGTGCGACGACCGACGCGGTTTTTGCATACAATCCGCGCCTCGTCGACGAATAATTAGCCGCTTGTTCGTCAGCAATGTACGAAGTGCTAATCGATCGCATCGCACGATCGAGCCAGCTCAAACTCATCTCGCGCCAATGAACCGTGACCGGAAACTTCGATGAGGTGACGAGGTGTGGGCTTTAGAATTGCAAATTGCACATAAACGAATCGCCCACGCGATTCTCGTTTTTTTTCTGCGGCCGCGTAAAACAAATGTGCTATTTAGCGCGGGAAAATCGACTCACGTAATTGCGAATTTATAGTTTCTTCAATACGTGATTACGAACGACTCGATTCCTTCGGTAATCAAATCTGAGGAAAAACATTTTTAATTTTTTTTTTATAGACTTATCTTTGTCTCTCTTTATTTATTTGAATTTCGTGTAAAGATTAAAGATTAGCTTCGATTTATTAATTAAGGAAACATTTATTTGTTAAACAAAATAGTAAGACGATTTATATACGATTTATAGATAGCCGAAAAGATGTTAGATGACCTATTAGACGTGTATGAAAACGATTACTAGTTATATGTACTTTCGCACGAATTATGCTCGTGTCTATAAAAGCTCATCTAGCGTTGATTGAGCTTATATTAAGAATTTTGCTGCATAGCGCAATTAACGTAAACATCATGTAAATGTCGACCATGCATATTCAACGATTGTGCGCTTTGACGCAAAATCATACGTATATCCTCGAAATTAGCAACGTTAACAACATTAAATATCTCATCGCTCATTTTACATTTTAAATCCAAATAGAGAATTAAGCGTTTCGAATTCTTTACTTAACAGTTTCTTTTTTTTTCTATTTTAATGAATATTGCCGTCGTGACATCGATTCATTGGTTCATGGAGAATGAGGACCAAAACATTGGCCGATCGCGCTGTTCCTTGAAAGAGAGAGAGAAAGATGAGTTTTTTACAAAATCATATATAAATTATATACGCATCGTTAATGACAGGTTTTTTTTACTTGACGATACTCTGATGGCATTTGATCCAAGTTTGTGCGTATATAATGATTATAAATACTATATACTGTATCCAAGTATATTTAAAATAATAATGCTCGTATTGTATCGATTTTTAGTTATACGAATGCATAAATATATGTATAATCGACAAGCGTACTAGTTGAAAAGCTATAATTAGTCACATTCGAGAATTCCTGATTACTATATTTGAGTAAATGAAAAACTGGTCTTTTATTATCTTTAAAGTATATAATTTTCCATTTGTAGAGTTTATCAAAAGTTAACAAATGCACACGAAATATACGCGAGTTAAATTTTCAGAACAGTTAAATTTTATATATCTAGAACGGAACTAAAAAAACTGTAACAACAGGTTTTTCTTTCTACACATGAATAACTGACCGCGAATATTGTTCTGCACGTTATGTTTCGCGTTTTTGTTTAATACATTTAGCGAAACCAAACTTTTATGTTGTCTGGGAAGTACATTTGTATCCGAATCCGTGTAGTTCCCTTAATATCTTTTAACTAATATTGTTACGTCTGCTAGAAACCCGAAACTTGTCATGGATACCACATCTCAAATGAACAGTTTATTCTCTCTTTCAACTCTCGTTAATTTAATAGATTTACCGTTTCCTACGATACTCTTAACATTTTTTAAGGGCCATCGTACTTAAAGATACTTTCTCGTACGTCTGACATGTGAGAGCAAGTGCATCGTTTCCACCCATTCTTTCGCGTGCGCTCCTTCGAGATCCACCCACACGATCTCGATCGCTCCGATGTAAATCCGATGATTCCCATAAACAAGGGAGGGCGAGATACACGGGAGGCGGCACTGGGTCTCTCATTACTCGGTTCGGGACTCGGCTCGACAACCGACCGATCTCCATATCGGACGCATCTATCTGGAGCACCCAGATACATAGGCAGTCTCCTCCTATACGGTGATGAGTACAAAGTACAAGCATGTCAAAACGCGGGATTCCCCGGTAGATACGTATCGCGATTTCGGCGGTGGTGCGCGGTAATATATTTGCGGACCATTATATGATTTATTCGCCACAGATCAATACGGAGAAAATATCGTTGATACATATATTCGTAATTTATCGATCCCTTGTGCAACTACAGGCGTTCAAGTATCGGTTTTCATAACGAATAATGCCTGCATAAATCATGATTATTAGATGCGCATCGATATTATATTGGTTTCTCCATTTCCATTCTTATCTTCCGAAACAATAAAATTAAAAATTCAACATCGTTAATAATAAGTAAAATTGGACCGATATAAATTTTATAATTAAATAGAGAAGATGCCATCTTTGGTCGAATAAGATCTTGGTACCTAATATTTCTATGTAAATTTTGTATTCTTTTTCGAACTTAACAAACTGCTCGCCGATAATTTATCAGTTTTGAAACACAGTTTTTTTGTTAGAACAGTAAACCCAGTTTGCTAAATTGGAAAAAGCATACAAAATTCACGCATAAATATTATTATCAGGCTACCAAGATCTAGCCCGATCAAAGATGGCATCTTCTATATTTAATTGAAACAATTATTAATAAAAATCCCGAGAGTGACATTAAGTTGAATAATGCAACCACAAATTTTAAAAAGAATTTGCGGAGTTTTCATTTTTGTCTGACATTAAAAAGGTAAAATACGAAGCACAGTAATATCAGTTTAACAGTTTTATTTATTCAAAACATTAGTTTTTCATTGATAAAGTCCAATTATAAAATGTTACATCGTTTAGTATTATATGCGGTGAAATATCGGATAAGTATTGTCGGGTACAAGATTCTCGTAGTGAGCAGCAACGCCATTCGATAAAGTTGGTTTCTGTATAATCTTTCGAACTTATTATTCAACGATCCGTGTCTTTATCTTACAGCAAATGTGTGATACCGAATAATGGTAATACTCACCGACGCAACTCTTTTAAAATATTTGTCGTGCACGAATATCCCTCTCGACAGATGTTATGTTAAAATAAGAAGCAACAAAATAAAATCTAATGAGTCAAGACAAACATATTTGATAGTAAATGACAAAGCAATAAACGTTTGAGGAAAAGTGGAAAGATGCAACTTGATTTAAGAATAATGAGTAGAAATTAAAGAATAATAATAAGAATAAAACCTATATACCTATAGATAGTGTTTGATATAGATGGAACAAGATAGCGGAAGCTAAAGTTTATTTTTCATTTATGTTAGTTAGTTAAAGAAAGAAAGATTGAAAAGATAGTTGCACTTAATTACAATGATCCTCTGGCCGTATAAAAAATATTAGAGGAAATTAAGTTAGTTCAAGAACATTCAATTCAAGAACATTTAATCAAAAGACATTTAATTCAAAAACATTTAATTTAAAAGATGTAGAAAAAATGTCTTTAATTAATTTGGGGACTATCAGTTAATAATAATTGCAAAAGCTACGCTTATATGAAATTTTTTTTAAGAGGTGATAAATCGACAATAAATCCAGATAAGTATTTTGTTTCATGAAGTTACTATTTATTAGCACAATAATTATCATTACATTGGTTATTCATGAACTTATATCTCCAAGTGATTGATTAATGCGGATACATGTTACGAAACGTAACGATACAAATACATATATTTATATCACAGTCGTAGATAATGAAATTAGTATTAATTCGAAGTTACGGTATCTATTTAAATGCCTAGAATATTCGCCCAGATCTTCTCCTGAAAGAAACTTACGACTCACGTGACCAAAGTGTGCGTATAAATCCTGCGGAAAGCATTACGTACGTCTCACAATTAGATAATACAGTAAAAGATTCCTCCGGGCGAGCCTAACTTAGATAGTACTGACACGCTAATTAATCTTAATTGTTAAAAAGTTTGATTCGCAATGGATATAAAGCGAAACACGCGTGCGCGTTTCTCCGCCCAGCGAAACGGAAGTTTCGAAGCGACGTAAACGAGGATGACGCTGAAGAGACGTTCGCGTATAGATGATCCTAAGGATAAAATCAAGTTTTAATGACCACTATTACTACATAGGTACTTATTGTTAACTGTGCCTACATTCGCGGAATCGTGAAACCAGTCTTCTTGCGAACGTCGTAAAACGACATTCTCGCGCGCGACTTTCTCGGGAAGAATACTCATCTTCACATTTTCAGCTATGGACCAAGTACGTCTAAGTGAAATAATACGAAAGAAAGATTAATGAGGTTGGTTAAAAAAAGATTTCAGTATAAAATTAAAAAGACATAACCGATTCGTATTCGAGATAAAGTTAAATTATCCTTACAAGGATAATAAATATTTTTACTACGACATAAAACGTCCCAGTTTGACCCAAGAACGTCTATTTAAAAATCAATTCTTTAATATTATTTCACTTGGATAGAATTGATGATTGTAGATCTTCATAGTTTAACATTTTATCGAGCGTACACGTTGTCGACAACAAGATCGAGAATTTCTACCGAAATCTACGGACACATTAACGACTCGAAGGGTAGGAAGTAGGATTTGTTATAGATGGACACGTCAATCCGACTAATTCTACCTAATTAGTAATCTAATTAACATCGTAATGTGTTACGCGAGCGTTACGAGCCTACTGGAAACACGCTGGTCAATTTGTTGCAATAATCTTAATTACGATGTAATGGACTGGCTTTTTAAGTCTTGTGTCAAATGGAAGCGCATGATACTCGTTCCTTCAAATATCAATGAATTAAAACTCGCTCTCTTATTGGCTCAAGTACGTTTTGGCACAATATTTGTTTCCAGTATTCGCCGTCGCTCTTAATCTTGAACAGTTTATTTTGCATTTCAATTGTTCGGCAGTATTTCGTTCTTTGATTTATCGACTCCTATCGCTCACCGAAATCGCGCATCAATATTGCGTACTTATAATTATCCACAATATAGAGACGTCAATGAATTGTTTTACGTTAACATTCTACGTTATGAAGAATTGGCTCCTTTTTTTCGACGGTGTCAATTTTTTTCTTTGACATCTTGTCTAACAGTATTTGAATTACTATACTAAGCCACGTTGCTGCAACACATGAATTAGTTGAATTGGCAGGCCTTTCTTTAATCAACAGTAAAACAAATTGATTTGTCCTTCAATTGAAGATAATTGCCATTCCATTGTCAAGTCTTTCTCCGTGAAGTTATTGACATTTTATGGTGAATGCAGTCGGGAAAGCATTAAACTTAATTACGTCGTAATGACGATTTCGTCGCAATTATTCACATCGTGTACTTTGAAAGCCTCTTTGATGCCGTTTTCACCGTGGCAGCGCGCGCCGTTAATTACAAACCGTACGAGTCCTTCACTCGCCGGGGAGAAAGCTTTCTTTCCGCAGTGAATAGCAACAATGTGTATACAACCGATACGATGTCCCCGGAAATACATTTTGCATATATTTGCATGATTCTTTCTAATCGCATGCTTCGCTGTTTGGTTTTCGTGTCAAGGTTTCGCGTCTTTGACATTCCATTACGAAAGCGCTTGTTCTTCCCCTCACATTACATCGCCGCATTCGAATTGCAGGTGCGATAAGACTGTTTTTTTAAATCTCTAAAGATCCTTTAAAATACGTACACGTGGAATATAATCGTACACGCGAAATAAAAATATAAACAAAAATTTCTCTATTTTACACGAAATAAAAAGGCGGTAAATGTATTTTATATACCTAATTAAAACGAACCTTTACTTCTACCATTTATATCATCACCTTTAATTTTCATTTTGATTGAATTTCTTGTCCTACTTTAATCCAGAAATTAAAAGTTTAACACCAGATATTCGTGCGATGCATTAATGATAATGAAATAATCTATCAAAAGCGTTCTCCGGACGAGAACGTTTATCACGAATAGATCATTTATCGCCGTAACATTTGATAGAGACTTTCTTTGCGTCTATAATAAATCTCACGACATCGATAGTTACGACTCGAAGGACTCCTCGAAGAGGAAGAGAGTGGAACGGTGTGCGACGTAAGACTCGGAGAGTCTCACCAGAGAGCCTCGGGGATACTTTCTGTTTCGCCCGGGGCTTTACAGTCAGGATTCGCAGTCGCGGACATCAATCGCAGTCACTCTCGAGAGTGCTCAGAAGGATTGATGAATGTTCCGCCTTGGCCTGCGGACGATCTCGTAGTTCGCGCGCGTGACACTAACGGATTAGCCTATTTCGGGGAAAGACACCTTTCTTCTGTCGCGTCACGATTGCTTCGCGCTTCTTTGCCTTTTCGAGGCCAGATCCTTCGAGTTCAGTTTCTCGGCTCCTCGTTTCGAGACGACGCTGATCCGGTCGATGCGCGCGAGAACCAGGGATAACGCGGAAATCGGAATTCAGCGCGTCTTACTTAACCGTTAACTCTTACCAACTAGTTGGTTGATTATATCGGGTGGGATACGAGAGAAGATAAAGATGAATCCGAGTAAAACTACGGGAGCCGCGAGGGCTCTTCGAGGAAAAGTATCCCGCCTTCTCTTTTTGTCGTCGTTAAAGCTTCGTCGATATATCTCCTCCCCGTCTTGGGTCCTAGACCTTCTACAACTACTTCGGAGAAAGAGCAAGAAGATAAAAGGATTTCCGATGAAATCCGCGGTGTCGCCTTCCAGCGTTCGCCTTCCTTCGACAGCTCTCAACACATTCGCGCGATCCGAGACCCCCGTGTGCGAGTTCTCCTAGACTTGATCTGTTTCTCCCGCACGCGACATTAACCGGATCCTTCTTTCTCGGTGGGATTACTTCCGGGGAAGAAGGCGGGAGTCGGGTGCCGCGCTGCGTCGATCCTATGAGAGCTTGAAGGCGTCGGACTTGTCTCAGAAGTTCGCCTCCAGCGAGCTCTCCAGTTCGCTCAGCGCCGGTACCAATGTCTGCAGCGAGAAGTAACGCGAACGATCGGCCGCATCCACACTGGTCACGTGCTGGAACTGGCATGGCTGACTGATGTTGCTCTTAGCCGGCAGCACCACCTTCTTCTGCACTGGCTTCTTCTTCTTCTTGCCCGGCGCCGACAGGCTGATGTTCTCCGGGCAGGACACGAGACGCTCTATGTGTTGCCATAGATCGTTCGCTGCCTTTGAATTGTCGAAGCTGAGCCCGGCCAAGCGAGTGTGGTCCGACGAGAGACACATCGTGTGAAAAGCTGGCCCCGACACCTGTAAACATTTCGAGGGCTCTTACCTCATAGAATGCGAAGCTAGGTAATATAATGCAAGTCACATTTTTCTACAAAGAGCAATCCCTTAGTTCCTTTGAAGATTTAAAAAAAATACATTTGCGATTCAGAGCACTTGTGTTTTATTTCGTCTGGCAAGCACGAGCAAAAAATTCAAAACGGCATTAAATGTCCGGTGCTGAAATTTAATCCGCTTTGTAACATAGCTCGCCGTAATCTATTTAACACGAGAGATAAACAAGAAGCTCGAACGCGTAAATGAATTATTTATCATGCAATCTGCCATCGAGTCTCGAATTTTACATTGCAGTCTGATGAGATTGAATGCTAATTATTTTCCACTGATAATTAATATCGAGTGTCATATATGTTTCACACAATAATACATTTGTAATCATCTCCGTTTTGAAAACATATTGATAGAGACAGGCTTGTATAGAGCTTGAACAATCAACGATGGTAATTTACCTTGTACGATGAGAGGTTGTCAATAGTTTCGCGCCAGAGGGTGAAGCAAGTACCGCGTTCTGCCAGTAAGATTTGAATCCGTCTCTTGGATCTTGATCGTGTCTCCCCAAGATCCAGAACCACCACGGGAATTCCGGTGAAACGGAGCTCCCACCTCTCTGTCTGAGAGGCGCTACCGAGATACAGGTTCGCCAGTGATTCACAGACGAATACCTGCCAAGCACGAAACGTTATCCCTTAAACGACGTACCATAAACCTATTCAGACTTACAGTCCTATTCTGTAGCAATTATGTATATGTATGATTTGCCTTTTATTATAGAAATTCGTTTAATTTGTTATTTCTAATCAACGCGTTTCGCACAAAGCTTACCTGCGATTTTAATCCGCGGAAGAAAGTTTCGAGTTGTTCTCGTTCCATCTGGCTAACCGGATCGAGACGAGACTCGTCGCTGTTCTCGGAGCTGTCACTACCCTCGTAACTCGACGTTGCGGAAGTATCCGCTTCGCCCGTTGAGGATAGTCGTCTTCGCGTGGTGCCGCTATATTCGCTGTAATAGGATGAGCTGTGTAGCGACAGATTCGACTGCAACGCGGGACAAGATGACGCATAGACTGGTCCGTTCATTGTTTTCTGGAAATAAGAGAAAAAGGAAACGATATAAGTAATCGTAAGATCGACATTTTTGTAGGTGTACACTTTGTTTGTTGAAAGAGATTGATCTTGTTTTATTAATATTTATTTTTGACTGATCATTAATTGTAAGATAACATCGTCTATAAAAAATAGTTTGTAAGAAACTCGCCAACAAAATAGAACTAAAAAGATTATGACAGCAATTTTTTTCCTTTTTACTACATTACGCGAAGCTCTTTTATAGCGAAGACAGAAACTCGTACGGAATTTATTATGCAACATAATATTTATCACGCAATATACTGAAATACATTGAGTACAGAGGGAGTTTATTATTTTGCGGGGGGAAAGGGAAACTGCTTGCCTTCTACGAGCGCGCACGAAAGCTCATCGATTTCTGGTATACCCTGGATTGTGCGAGCACCCTGGTACCATCCTATAAATATCGGTGACCCGTTTTATTAAGCTACACCAGAAATTTCGATTGACATTGGAAAATAAACTCATCAAAATGAGAATGAAAGCTATAATCACGGCACAATTCGATCTATCTACAACCCTTAATTGTCACTTTAAGTTCAGAGTTTACGCTAATATATAATATTGCAATTAACAATTATCCGAGAGCATAACGTGCACCAGATCTGTGGAAAACAATCTTAACAGAAACATCCATGATAGGAACTCAATAAAATATCCTAGAAAATTCAACAAAATTTAAAATATGTTAATTATTTTAAAAATTAAGTTTTATATAACGCCTCATTAGTGAATAATATAAAAGATATTTCGCAAATTGTTTGTACATATTTATCGTTACATATTTGCACAAAATGAATATCTAATATTTACGAGGTAAAATCCGGTGGGTAAAATTTTAACGTGAAACATGAACACGATGTAAGCGAACGAGAGCGTTTCGCAGGGGTGGAAGACCCCTTTACGCTCCTCCAATGCCTGACCTCAGAGGTGAGAAAAACTAGGTCGTCGACTTCGATACTACGATGACGCAAGAGAGAAAGAGAGAGAGAGACACTGGGAGCTGGGAGCCAGCTCCGTGAGAGAGCTAATCAGCCACCAGCATCCAGGGTCGACCTACTTAATGCACGCGAGGAAAGCCCGGCCTTAATTCGATTGGTGTGGTATTAATGAATCAGTCCGATGACTAATCGCTATCTATATGTCGTCGGTATAGTTCTAGGAAGAAATTCTACTACAGGTTAGCGATGACGACGACGACCTCGTCTCTTTTCTCGTTCATTGATGGTGATGCTCCGACGCGCGATCGTGTCAACGATTCCCTGGCACTTGACGAGCGCATTCCTCCGTTACTCACGATCGTTGCTGACGCATCACTACTAATCCAGTCTTATTGACCCTTAAACGAACGAATAGAGAAATGCTAATAAAAATTTATTTTCCTAATAAAACGTATGGCAATGCATCCGTTTATGCGCCTCATAGAGAATAAAATTCTTCTCTCTCTCTCTCTTTCTTTCTCTTTCTCGTTTTTATTTAGATTTTATATATTTTTGATTGTGAGACATACATATTTCAACCACATGTCATATTCGTTCTACTAAATAATGGAGAATACAAAGTTTTCAATTTTGGTCGACAAGTTAGAAAAATGTCACAGTTTGTTACTGAAAACAATGAAAGTGCTTTTTTAATTAAAAAATAACCGTAGGATATATAAATTAATACAATTGAATTTTTTTTCTTAATAATTAAATTAAATGGAAGCAAATAGGTATGGGAAAGTTCAAGAATTGCTTTCTTTTTCTGAATAATATGTGATTGGAATAACATATTTGAATAATACATTAAATTATAGGCATTTTCTCAAATTTGCTTTTAATAGGCCGGAAATAAATTGGCACTTCCTTTAAGTTAATTAATACGGTATGTCTCGCGACAAACCCGCATGCTTTTAACGAGTTATTAATTGTATCTGCCAGTACAACGCATAATTCAGCAAAACATTATCTTAATTATGTAAAAATCAAACGAGAAAGTTGAAATAACTTATCTCTGACATCGCATTAGACAAAATTCCGTATTGTAAATAGCGGTCTAATACATTAATATTGATTTATGTAAATTTAACACGCTCGGGTTCGTGGAAGGAAAATACAAATATCGGAGGTACCGGTAGGAGAGTGACTCTCCCTTTCACAATCGACCCGCATCTATCGGTCTGCTACCGGACATCGGTATCGTATGTGTATGTATGTACATACGTGATGAGATATCACGGTGGCGCAACGTAACGATACAAATTGAAACGCGAGCCGGTCCATGTCCCCGCGTGCGTGAAACGCACACCGGAAGTGCATTGTCCACGTTGCGGCGAGGGATGTGCCATTGTTCCGCGATAAGAGCCCGGCTTCGTTTCGCTCTTAGATAAACTGCAGATAATTACGATCGCACGCCGCCGCTCCGTATTCTCACGAAGCCGGCGCGGGCGCGCACGCTCCGCTTGGGAGGCAGAAAATAATTATCAGACGGATTAATTGGACCGCAACGTGGCGGTAGACGTGCTTGTGAGACTTCCTTTCTTCCATAGTAAAAGCATTCCAGGATTCCATAATTTCTCTGCCACATTTAATGGAATTTTTCTGCGTTAAATTCTTAATTGGCATCAATAAGAAATTGTGAATAATAAAGTTGCATAAGTTATATAAAGAATTAATTTATTGAATAATTGTATATTTACATGTTCACGTGACATAATCATTATATTAATTTAATCAAAGTGCTTAAATAATAATTTCTTTAAAATACTACATTCAAAATTGTATTCTCTGCGACTAAGCGCCAAAATGTGCTTAAATTAATTATATTTAGTAAATATATTTAGAATTATATTTAGAATTATATTTAGAATTATATTTAAAATTATATTTAGTAAAAATTACAAATTCATAAATTTTATGTAAAAAGAAGTTCTCTCTCTGAAATAACGATCAAATTCGAATATATAAATGGAATATATAAATATAAAATCGCATTTGTTTTTACTTATGCAACTATATTTCGAAACATATAAATGTACCATTCTTGCTCTGATTTTTCAGTCTGCTGACACAGAAAAATTTTGCTTGTTAGCTGAAATTTAGCAAACGTGTTCAGGCTTTTTGTCCCAGATGGGAGATTACGTAAGCGTCCACGGTGCGATTGCGAAAACCATTAGAAAGTGGGACGACGATAGCGTATCTTATCGCATTGTGTCAATTAAGGGACGATAAACAACGCGAAATGCACTTAAGGGAAATTCGAGGACGCAACGCGACGGTGTCGGGTTAATTGTGGGTAAAATTTCGCGCAGGATGCAATCAGACGAGGAATCGTCATGGGCAATCTGGTGGAAGTCGACAACGCTGTCGTAATTACCCATCATTAGAGACACGAGACGAATTCACTCGTGAGTGAAAACCTATTTAAGCTAAATGAACCTTAAGAGAAGGTGCGGTTTTAACGTGTTCACTACCACAATCGAATTGGAAAAACCTTCGCCACAGACCACGTTACATTTTTAATAGTTTTATTCAACGTAGTGGATGTGCACATAGAATGTATTAAAGAGGTCAGCTAGTGTTCCAAATAATAATTCTATATATTTCAAATTCTATATTTTTCTATAGATCCTATATCTTATATTCTAAAGAAGTCTAAATCACATATATCTAACATCAGTCTTTCGAGAAATCGATGTGTCACACATGTGTAACGCTTGATAGCGAACATGTTAAGATGGTATCCAGAGAGATGATATCGCAGTAATTGAAATAATATTATTGATATCAAATGTTGTATTCCGTTCAAGTGGTTCTTAAAGAAACCTGTGATGTCGAGACAGTATCGGAATGATATCGCAATATCGAGTAACGATTCTAAGTAGGCTTCGAGCGATCGTTTCACCGAAGAGATATACGAAATCGCGCGGCGATCGCTTCGACATACTCGCGAGACGATAGACAGACGCGTCGCCCAGCTGTAGATGAAAGATTAATTACTGCCGGACTAATTAGTTTTGTGGTTGCAGCGGGGATACACGCTCGGGTTGGAAATTTATAGCTCGTCCGGTGCGGCGCGCGCTCCGTCGAGCGTAAAACGTGCTCGCAATTAAAAGTAGGTAACCCGGAGGCCTTGTCGGCTCTATTGTCGGCCTGACCGGTATAGAGCGCCGCTCTTCCGCAGGTCATTCGTTTTGATTAGCTGTACGATTAATTGCTTTCTTTCGTAAGCCGCGCGGAAATTCGGCGAACCTTTGTTTCGCGGAACACCATAAATATCGGTTAACACTAACCGCGATTTAACTGATTCGAGAAACAGAATAGCAAACATGACGTAGGATTATCCTGGGTTAGTTTAAGTAAATATGAAAACTATAACGCACGTTCATAAATGCGAAAGTGTATTGCAAGTAATCCTGACTTTTTTTATTTATGAAATTTATTTGTTACATTATCAAGATTTAGATCGGCAACAATTAAATGAATAAATGCTTCTCGATAATTTTCTCGCTCCTTATACTTGAAGTTGTGCAGCTCCGATGCTCCAACATTTTCAGAATGCTATTTTAGGTGCGGCGATGCGTCTCGCTCTCGCAATACCATCCCTACAATGACGAGATGTTCAGACGCGTCTGCTCGTGACACTCTTCTCGGATATTTCTCATGCCTGTTGCGTGAAACTCTCCTTCGCTCTCTTGGCAGCAGCCCTCTCTTTCGCGCCGTCTCTCATAGCAGAGAGTCGTCACAGCACAATAAATGCAAGTACAAACGACAACGGGATCCATCGATACGACTTTAGCAGGACGTCTTTCGTCTATTTCTCGCTCTTCTCGTATTCCAGCTTATCATCCATCTCGGTTGCTCTCTCCTTCCCTTTTCCTGTCTATCTCCGTCTGTCACTTTCTGTCATTCCGCGCTATCTACCGCATTGTCTTTTCCACCTCGATGCTTCATTGCATTCCCCGCATTATATCCCTC